AAAGAGAGACTCTAAGAGGCCTTTACCCCCAAAGAGAGACTCTAAGATGGCCAAACGGCTGTTTTCCTGCTGCACATGTGGCTGGATATATATATGTGTGTGTGTGTTTGGATATATGTGTTTGTGTATGTGTGTTAGGATATAAGTGTTTGTGTGTGTGTGTTTGGATACATGTGTTTGTGTGAGTGTGTGTGAGGATATATGTGTGTGTGCGTATATATATGTGTGGGTGGAAATGTTTGTGAGTGTGTGGATGTGAGTGTGATTGGCTATACGTGTTTGTGTGGGTGTGTGTGTGTGGATATACGTGTTTGTGTGTGAAGACGATTTTGCCTTAACTCCGCCTTTGAATTATTATTATTTTTTTATTGTTTAGAGATGTTTTACTTTCTGGAGATACTTCCAATCCAGGATTTATTTTCTGATGTTTTTGGAGGAAAAGAATCCATCTTAAATCCACATTGAGAGTCATAGCTGCTGTTTATTGGTTCACGTGTGATGTGATTTGATTAATTTGGGTTTTAAAGTGTTCATCCTTGTCTTACCTCTGATCCTTTACCGGATTGTCAGCAGGAGCCTCCAAAGAAAGTCACGAAAGACTACGACGACCTGTTCGACGACGATGACGACGAGGGGAAAATGGACGAAGGGCTGAGCTCCCCGGTCAGGAAACCCGTCGCCAGGGAGGAGGAGGAGGAGGAGGAAGAGGAGGATTTCCCCATGCCCTCCACGGGGCGAGTGAGGAACCGGGGGGCCATCCTGGATGACGAGAACTCAATGGGTGAATAAAGGACGGATCCAGGGAAGAAAATCCTGTTCAGTTTGATCTCTAAAGAGCAAAATCCCAGCACACGGCTTCTCTGGGAACTTCGTTCAGTCCAGTTGAAGCCGGTCAGAATCCGGTTCACTGTAAAGCGATTCATTCAAGTCCAAATGAGTCCAATTCAGTCAGAGATTATTAAGAGAGAAGAGTCTACACTTCTATGCCCCCACCCAGGAAGAAACCTCCATCAGAACCAGAACCAGCCACACACACACACACACAGACATATATCCAGATACACACATATATCCACACACACACACAGACATGTATAACCTGACACACACATACACTGACACACATATATCCAGACACACACACACACACATCCAGACACACACGCATATATCCAAACATACACACACACACACACACACACACACACACACACACACACACACATATATTCATACATACACACATATATACACACACACACACACACACACACAGACATATATATCTTGACACACACATACAGTGACACACATATATCCAGACACACACACACACACATCCAGACACACACACACATATTCATACACACACACATACGAACACACATATCCACCCACACACACACACACACACATATTTCCACACACACACATATCCACACACACTCCCTCCCTAACCCCCCCCCTGCCTCTACTGGAGGTTTCAGGCTGAATAACTCTGGTTTCTCTTCCAGACACCGTCTCTCTGCATTTGGGTCGGGGGGGATTGGAGGACGACGGCGATGCCGACATCGCCGTGGCGACGGCGGCGGCCCCCTTGGCGCCGCTGCGCCCCGTCTACGAGGGGCCCATGCCCACCCCCCCCCCCAACCCCCCCCCCCCCGCCCCCCCCCCCGCCCCCCTCACGCACCGCTTCCTGGTAGGACCCCGGCCCCCTCAGGCCCGGCTGGGCGTCGGCCCCCACCCCCCCCCCCCCCCCCCCCCCCCCCTCCCCCCCAGGCCTGGAACTCGGTGGGGATCGTCCGGGGCTACAACGACGAGCAGGACAACGCCATCGACGTGGAGTTCCACAACACGGCCGTGCACCACGCCATGCACCTCACCAACTCGCTGGGCCACAGCATGGCCGCCCTGTCCCAGCAGGCCGTGCTGCTGGGCTGCCCCGGCTCCCACGGGCTGGCCAGGTGACCCGCCCGCCGTCCAGCCAAACCCTGACCCTCCGCCTGCTCTATTTTTATTTTATGTTTTTAATAACATTTTAAAACACTGTTAGCATAGATGGGGATAGCATGTTTTTAAGAACTGTTTTATATTTTATACTAACCTGGCTGACAGGGAAAGAAAAACTCCCTGTCAGGGGACCCTAACCCCTAAACCTAACCGCTAACCCTAAGCCCCTAAACCTAACTGCTAACCCTAATCCCTAAACCTAACCCTAACTCCTAAACCTAACCCCTGATCCCAAACCTAACCTAAGAGCTAACCCGAACCTGTAACCCCAAACTTAATCACTAACCCTAATCCCTAAGATTAACTACTAAACCTAACCCCTAAACCTAACTCCTTACCCTAACTCCTTACCCTAACTCCCAAACCTATTCCCTAAACCTAACCCTATTTCCCAAACCTAACCCTAACTCCTGACCCTAACTCCTAAACCTAACCCTATCCTCTAAACCTAACCCCATCCCCTAACCACTAACCCTAAACCTAACCTAACCCCAAACCTAACATAGTCCCTCCCCAAACCTAACCTAGCCCCTAACCCGAACCTACTGGCTGTGTCTCACCCCCCCTCCCTCTGCCCCCCCAGTAAGCTCCAGTGCCTGCACTTCTCTTCGTGGGACACCAATAAGGAGTGGATGGTGGACCTGCCGGAGGGCGAGGACGCCGTGGCGCTGTGTCTGGGTCAGGGCTGGGCGGCCGCGGCCACCAGCGCCCTGGTGCTGCGGCTCTTCTCCATCGGGGGGGTCCAGAGGGAGCTGTTCAGCCTGCCGGGGCCCGTGGTGTGCATGGCGGGCCACGGCGAGCAGCTGCTCATCGCCTACCACCGAGGTCAGGCG